AGTTACTTGGGCAGGCCTTCAGCTATGAGCGTGGGCCTTCCCTATGGGAAATCTCAGTCAGGTCCAGTGAGTCTTCACCATCCTTTCCACATTCATCTGTCTTATGTTAGTAAAGTGCAATACGTCATGTACCCGATGCTTTTCCCCCACTCTGTCCCTTCATAAGACCTGGAGCTCAGGCCCAACCAGGGCAGAGATGTCTTAATTTTTCAATCAATCCAGGTGTCTTGTCCATTCTGAGAGAGATAGCAAAATGTAACTACAGCCTCTCTCACAAGCACATGGCATCAGATATGACCTGGAACCAAACATAAAGGTGCAGAGAAAGATAAAGCTATTAGAACACATTATATCTATATATATATAATTCAATTTTGAAACATGGATACAAATACTCATTTACAATATACTTCAACTTTCTGCCTTAAACTGCAGAAAACTTTTTATGCCATCCAAGTTGGGCAGAAATGAGGGTTTCTGCCTGCTGTCCTTCTAGTGCAAAATCTAGTCCTTTAAACACATCCCTTCTCAACAAGGGCTTCACATCTTCAGAGAAGCTAACATGGGCAACAGAAAACACAGTGGCCAAGACCAGCTCTATTTCCAACCATGCATTGATGGAGCTTCAAGAATTTGCTTAGCAATTATTAGAGAAAAGGAACGCTAGTTCTGCTTATAAAATCACTTAATGAAGGACCCACAATCCCATGTTTTCCAAATAATTTTCAACGCTTCTAAAAATGCATATTGTGAGGAAAAAACCCTACAAAACTCTTAAAAGTCAGTCACCAGCAAAGTCTGTTAGTCTGTCTTTGGATAGCTTACCAAAATGGTACTAATGCTTGTTCTCTCCCTGTCCTTAAAAAATTTGGCATCTTAGCAGATACACTGTAATCTTTGGTTACATAATGTGATGCTTTCAAATCTTTTTCTGTCTTTTTAAATAGTACTTTCAAAGAATTTCAAAGAGATCAGTGGTGAGAACAGATATGCCTATAAGGACATCACGGGCAGAAACTTTCTTTTCCAAGAAATTGCACATGCTAGATGGCTTATTTTGACTTTAAGATGGGGACGGGATCTGGTTCTTTAGTATTTCTGGTTCTCGTGACCCCTCAGACAGGGTCAAGCATGAAAACGACTCCCTTGGCCCAGTGCCCTCTCACCTGGGTCACTGGCATAGGACAATGAGTTGTCATTCTCTTGTTTTGCCAGGTTGTGCAGGGAGAACAGAAAAAAAAATGCAGGATATGCAGGATAGTTACTATGTTGTCTGGAGAAGGTCTCATGAAATGCAGTGCTGGCACAGGCTAGAAAGGGGCAGAGGGAGTGGCTTGGGCTTTGTGTCCTGCTGAATATCAAGGGAGAAAAGGGGGAACAAGGCCACATCTGTGCTGTGCCTAATGAAAATGATGCTTAGAATCTTCCTGAAGCTCAAAGTTAGGTCATTTTTGTAGTGTCAATATCAGGTAGATGGTGGACATACTTTCTCTTAAAGTACAAGTCAAACAAGTCAAATACATTCTGTTATATATGTCTATAAGTATTTAGAAAGAGTATGAACAGGGAGGCATTTTAGCATCAGCACATTATTTGTTAACCTGAAAAATCACCTCAGCAAATACCCAAAGGACAGAGTGAAGCTCTTGTTTTTTTTTTTTTTCTTTTTTTTTTTGTTTTTTTGAGTGCCAGTGAACACACATAAAAATATACATACTACTGATTTTCATTTTTCAAAGATATATGACAGAATCCTTCCAAAAATCCCTTTCTTGGAGTAAGGTAATTAAAAAAATAATGAACTTTCCAAGAACAACAATGTTGCCTGTGGCATAGAAAAGCTATGGAACAAAGAATCGAACCCCCATGTTAGCTCAGAGGCCAGGCCCAGGCAAGAAGCCCAATGAATGAGAGTTGAAACTGCCACAGGACTCTTTTCTTTGACCACAGAGTTCATGACTTTGGCAGCTGACAGCAGCTGGGCCCTCCTCTCCGTGCTCCTTCTTTTTCTCTTCCTCACTCTCCGTGTACATCAAGCCCTGCAAACTTCATTGCAGATGCTTCCCGCGACTTGTCCAGTAGATGATCCTCATCTTCCAGCTCACCAGGTGAATGGTTGTGGGAGACCAGTTCTTCAAGGGTGAGCACAGCGTACCAACTACATGAACTCTGTAGAGCAGAGTGCGTGCAAAATGAGACTTCTGTCTATTATACTGGCTGGAACCTGGCTGGACATCAATGCCAAATTAAAAAAAAAGAAAGAAAGAAAAAGAAAGAAAGAAAGAAAAAAAAATCCTCCCCATTTTATCCATGGGAGAACAACGAAGCTGAAACCTCCTTTGCTCACTCAAACCCCAGTGCAGTAACAGTAGGCTAAAAACCTTGTTTAGACCATTTTTCCTTAGTCTTGCCATCTGGAAATTCAGAGCAAACCAGTTGTTGTTGCTTTCAATTACAATGCTGTTTCACTTGATTTTTTTGGTTCTTGCAAATGAAGAACATATATTCACAAAGGGTCAAATTTGGGCAATCTGTCAAGATGATTTTGATAGAGATATGGAAAGAAGAGCCTCTAGTATTTACAAGGAGAGTTATTAAAGAGATACAATTGAGTCTGTGTACCACAAAAGATGAAAATCACTTCAAAACAGATGTAAAGGAGCTGTTAAAATGTAACCTAGTTTAACTGAAAAGAGTGGTGATTTTTTTTCTGTTTAAAACAGCTAGAAGTGATCCTCTACATAAATCAGATGATGTTATAAGAAAGAAAATCAGAATTTCTCTATCCTACCCCAGAAAGGGACTCTGCTATCTTTAGTTTTGCCCAGCAATCTTGCATTGGCATGTCACCCATTTTAGGTTCCCCTATCCCTTATTATTTAAAGAAGCTGTTTTGAAAGTTTATTTGAATATTAATGTCAACACAGAAAACTATGGAAACCCATGTGGATAAATCATGTCATTCTGAATTTATCTTCTCAACAAGTAGAGTGAACCAACTGAAAAATGGGCAGCTTGGAAATTGCCCCTGATTTCTTGAGTTTAACATATGATCAGCCACGTGAAGAGGTGGTGGTCAAGATGAAAAGAAAAATAGGTGGACATTCCTCTTCGCATTTGAGGTTGGGGAACAAAATCCACAGAATAGAGGTGTCCCAAAGCATGATATGAAATCAGTGTCCCGGGAACATATCGTGAGTTTACAGGGTGCAGCCTACTGACGTCACACCAACCGGACCTTTCCAAAGGAAGCCACAGTTCTGCAGAACATCTCAGTATTTCAGCCTCCCTCTAATGGATAGGCAGCAACAATGGTGGGGAATCGGAGGATGGCCAATGTGAGAGCCCCGAATCAGCTGCAGAGGAGAATGGTAAGTAACCTCGCCGGATGGTTCCCATCTGGCTTTAGGTTTTGCCTAAAGTCAATGTCTCCTCTTGGTTCTTTCTTCTCATGACTTCTGCACGTGGATATGCTGGGTGGCAAGTACAGCATTTACAGGGTCTCTGGTTCTAATGTCTTTCTTTGTTCATCCTTGGTAACTGAGTTTTTATTTTCAACTTTGATCTGAGTAGCTGCATGAGCTCCTCTGAAGAAGGAATGGACATTTGTCCACATTGTGGGAGGATATCAGCTCCGGGGGACAAGGGCAAGACGCTCACTTGTCCTATCCCTCTGATACCATCTTACCAGTTTGCGGAAGGGCTCCAGCGATCTGACAGTTGATGAGAAAGTTTTGAGACAATAGTCAACTACAGATAGATGTCAGTGCTGCTGGCCTGCTAGCCATTTTGGAGGTGGTGGGTCTCTTAGCAAAGAGTCTGTGGACAAGCCCAAAGAAGTGAACAAGAATCACCGCCATGACTGAAATGCAATGTGGTGAAGTTCAGTCCCACAAAAACACTAAAGGGACTGTGGAGAGAGCTTGTGGCCACATGAAGTCGGACAGAAAACTTCATTCAGGTATTTTAAAGATGGGAGAAAGAGTGGTATTAGTGAGAGGTCAATGTCCTAGGCAGAGGAATAGCTAAGTCATCACTTCCTTTTCCTCTGACTCCAACTGCAAGCTTCTCCCTGGATCACACATGGGAAATCAGTCCTGGATCCGAATGGAGCTTTAAAGGGTCAGAGCTCTCCTCTTCTTCTCAGTGGTCTGACTCTTCAGTGGAAGCGGCCAAGTTTTGGCTAAAGATAACATTCAACTCAAAGCTCTTAGAAAGCCATTGAGAGTCAATTTGAGGATAGAGGTAGAGGATGAGAGAGAAGATTTGAGATGGGAAGGTGTTTACATGCAGACAAGTTTTCAAACAAGAAGCACATCTGTATTACAATGAATTTCACTCCAGGACCAAGGCTGTGGGCAGTTAATAGTGATCTATCTGCCCTCCTGGTCCTCTCCTAGCTCTGTCACTCCCCCTCCAACTCGGTTCTGAGATTGCCCTAGCCTCTAATGGCAATAGCCATTGGCAAAAATAAAGTCTCCCAGGGAGGGGGAGGGGAAACCAAAGCACTGACTCCCCATGGGCCTGCAATTTTCACCTTCTAGTCACTGTTGGCCTCATTGGGGATTTCTATTGTTTATCTCCATTTTTTAAGAAGGAAAAAAAAATCCTAGCAAGGTTCTTTTTTTTTTTCTGTTGAGTTTTTTGTCTTTTGCTTTTTTTTTTTTTTTTTTTGGTTTTGTTTTTGTTTATTTTCCCCAGATGCTCTTAGTTCTCTAAACTTCCCGTGGCATAGGTAAGTAAATGTTTGTGTGGCTGGCACACAGCATGGTGCTGTAAACAAGCACAACTTTAAACTGGGCCACGTGAGGATCATCATATATTTAAAGAAATACAACACCATTCAAAACACAGATAGGAGCCACAAGAGGGAGCAGAGTCTGAAGGTGCCATGGGAGAGTCAGAAAGGGAAGAAGAAAAAAAAAAGGAAGAATAGAGAAAAAAAAGCCCAGCCAATAGAACTCAGGAACATGTTCATGACAGATTGTACGTCAATAGAGGGAATTCCCCAAGGCACTGCAGAGAAGTAGTGCAGTTATAACAGGCAGAAGACATCAGAAAAAAGGAGTGCGGTGGAGTTAGGGAAATGGACACTTCCAAAGCTTCACTGCGTGTGGAAATAGATGGGCTTGACTTTCCCAGAAAGAATCTTGGGCACTTGCACAGAGATGATCTCTGCCATCATTTCTGGAAAGTCTACGCTCACCATGTGAGACTTAATAAGCAGGTCAAAAGTGAACTGGTGCAGCTCTCTTGCAATCTGCAGGGGACAATAAGAGAGAGAGAGAAAAAAAACAGGGTTGACAAGGAGTTGGCTTCTGCCAGACTCTCCCCCCATCTCTTATTTCTGCTTCTTCCAGTTTTTTTGTCCCAGCCCATCTTCTTGATCTTTTCCCAGGAGGCTGTGTGTGTATGAGTGCAAGTGAGAGAAAGAGAAAGAGAGAGTGAGAAACAGTCTCCAGGGAGTCCTTGAGGGCTCGCAAGAGATCACTTACATCATTGCAAGCTCTCTGGTTCAGGCCTGGATGTTTCTCTTTCACAGTACACACACACACACACACACACACACACACATCCTCACTCCTTCTTACACACACACAGGCGAGTTCATATGCATATGACTGTGAAGAAAAGGCACAGCACCCAGATCTGTTTGGTCTGCCTAGAGTATTCATTTGCTCGAAGTGCTTTCCTTGAATCCCAACTGCTCTGTCCTCAGCTCCTCCACCCCTTTCACAACATCCAGCTGGGACACAGTGACCTGTGTTCCCCTCTTCACTACTGCATTTTGTCTCTGGACTACACTCAAAGGCATAGGCGAATGGAAGCACCACCTAGTAGGTGGTGCCAGACCCAAGAGGATCATATTATCATATTGCTCTATCAGGCTGCTCTCCTTGATCAAGCACCCTCCATCATTTGCTTACAGGCTGCACAGAGTCCAGGAGCTTGGTGAGCTGGTAGAAGCGCCTTGAGCAGGATGTGGGATTTTTTCGTTTGCATGCAATGATACGATCGAGTTCCTTGATGTAGTTCATTCGAAGTTCATCAAAGAATTTTTGATTTTTCAGCCCATCCACTGGAACTGATATGGGATGAAGACAGAATGGGGAGGGGAAGCATGCCCACGAAGGAGCATTAGACAAAACACCAAATTTTCTGACCACAAACTTGACCCCCACCCGCACAGGGAGGGAACATCTACTTGACTTCCTATCAGCTGAAGTCTGTATGTCTGGGGCCTTCAAATCTCTCATGGAGAGTTTAGAGAAAAGTATAGCTGGATGCAATCTGAAAGGGAGTCAAGGAAACAAAATTAACTGAATCTTTGCTCTTTTTACTCTTCTCATGTACCCATTTCTTAAGATCCTACATCTTATGTCATTCACAGTTCAGCTCTGATTTAGCAAACTAAAACACATGACTTTGCATATCCAATTTTGCCTCCTTTCTCCTTCACAGAGGCAAAGGCAGTACTGCGCTTAGGGGAGATATTAACAAAGGATTCCTTGGCTTTCAAAAAGAACCCTTCTGAGTTGCTCACATAGATTTCAGGCTGTTGGCAGAAGAGGAAATCCCTCTTGCTGTACTATCCTGCAAGGAAAGAGTATAAGGGTACTACCAAAAGTCCATGGTAAATGAAATTAAAGTGTGGAGTTCATTTTGGTGCACAAAATATTGAAATGTATGCATGGTTTGTTCATAATACACATTTTCCATGAACTTTATGAAGATCTCGCATACAGAGTACTCCCTGCTTGCTTCTATAACCGCAGCTGCAGAAGTATTCAGTGACCTAGTATATTCAGCCACAAGGTCTTATCCCAAAGAGAAATTGGGAGTAGGTGGGAACTGATGGAGGATGAACTCTGGTAAAGAAATTGACCTCTATCCATGAAGTTGGTCTTTGTTAGGATACAGGATGCTGATGGAGAGTGGAGGGGATGGGGGAAAGAATGGAAATGTCCAGGAACTGACTTCTCTCTGATAATTGTTTAATGGTGAAAGTGGCCCCTCTGAACTTCCATGCCCCCAGGGGCATTCCCTGCACCTCTAAGCACTTACTAATGCTGAAGAGCAGCAAGGCTTTCATGCACAGGAATTCCTGGGGCGTTATTTGGAGCCATCCAAACTCTTGAGAGAGGTGCCTCATTCGGACACACTGGCTGTACATCCGGGACTTGTGCATACGGTACCTGGGAAGGAAACACACAAGGGAAGAAGAGGAATGAGATGAGGCTTAAAGTTAAGTCCAGAAGGAATGTCTATAGTTGTCCTCTTTCCCTATGATCTCCAAAGAAAGCTTGTTGTTTCTCCTGTTGATGCTTCAGTGACAGGGAACAAGGATGTTCCTTTTTCACTCATCTTCTCTGGTCAGAATATGGGTCAATATATGGAAATCCCAGGTTTCCTTGCACCTTCTGTTGCTCTAGACAGGGACAGGAAAGCACAACCAAATGAACACAATTGGATAAGCACTTTGTCTGCCTCCAGTTTTAGCATCACAGCTAGAGCTAGAAGCTGCATCCCAGGCAGCCCAACCTGGGAGAATTCTAGAGGAAAGGAGCCAGCAATCAGTTCTTAACATAAGGACATAAAGATTTGCAAGTGATCACAGGTGTTCAGCCTGTTAGTCCCCCTGCTTGCCTCTTGGTTTAAATGCCATTTCTCATGCTAGCAATTGAATAATTTCTTCAAAAATCCCCAATGATGTGGTTTCCACAGTGTTCTTTCAAATTGCGCTCCAGTTCTTAAGTCTGCCAGGGAGGGTTGCTGACTGTCTAATCTCAATGTTCCCTGCTGAAGTAGAACCCTCTACCTCATATACTGGCTGTTCCTTACCCCAGTTTGGGATCTGTAAACACATGTGAGATGCTTTTATTATAGTGACTTATAAACAGATCATCGCATTATCACCTATAATTATGTGGGGAAATGTGCAAGGCTTGGAAAACTTTTCAGAGGGGAGAAACCTCTCTGTTCTGTGACTGGCCATGGCATGCCTCTCAGGGAAGACATGATATCCTCCTGTAGTAGGCCTTCTGGGTTTCAGCACCTAAGAAATGAAGTGTGTGTGTGTGTGTGTGTGTGTGTGTGTGTTTAAGACAGAAACTCGTAGCATGTGGATAAGGGAAAAGGAATCTGACACACACTTAAGTGGTAAGGACAAGGACTTCCCACATGGATCCTAAAGGCTGTGGTTTGACATTTTGGTCCCCAAGTCACTAGCCTGGTGCATAGGCCAAGAAGGCCTGGCATTGCCTGTGTGGAAGCTCAGCAATCTATCTTAGAGAGATTTTTGGCCCTGCTGGAGAAAGAGGAAAGGAGACAGTGTAGAATTACTCAGTTCAGGCTAAAGCCCAATTACAAAGAGGACTTCTTTAGATGGTATTACAAGTCAGTTGACCAGAACAGTGTTGTTCCAGGCTCTTTGACTATAGGAGACTTTTAAGTCTCTTTTTATTTATTTGAAGGTAGATAAAAAAAGAACAAGAGAGATATTTTCTGTCTCTTGATTTACTCCCTAAATGCCCAAAATAGACAGGGCCTGTCACTCTAAAGCCTGGATTCAGGAGCTCAATCTGGGTCACCTATGTGGGTGGCAGGGACCCGCATACTTGAACCTTGCTGCTTCCCAGAGTGACCATTAGCAGAAATCTGGAATAGGGATGAGAGTCAGGACTCAAACCCAGACACTCTGATATAGGATTTGGGTATCCCAAGCAGTGTTTTAAACAGTGCATCAAATGTCTGCTCCAACTCTAGAGAGTTTTTAAATAAGATCTGCTGATCCTGGGGCATGGGCCTACTCCAGACTCCACTGTATTTCCATACCTCTACTGAAGCCAACATGGCAATGTTTTGGTCATTGAGATCATTATCCTGGTATGGAAGATTTCTAGAAAATTGCTGCAGGTTCTCAGAAGCTGGAGAATGTAAGGTAGTGGAGGGGAAAAGGCAAAGGAAGTAATTCAGAAAGAAAGGGAACAGGAAGGGGAAAGAAAAGGCAAAGGGAATAAGGAGAGAGGTAAAGAAAGGCAATGGAAAAGAAAGTGGCAGGTAGCAAATGAGAAGCAGAAATGAGAGTGGAAAATGAAGACTGGGAGACACTGAATACAGTGACTGGCACATAGTAAATGTTCCATAAATGATATGTTGGAAGATGCTATTCTGATACTATTCATCATTTTGCAGACAAGATTTGAAGGTCAGAGAAATTCAATAATTTATCCAAGATCACATTACTAGGGTTCAGGTTCATTATTCTTATAGCACATGGTCTGATAAAAGGGAAGGAAAGAAGAAAACAGGGTTGATGACAGGGATTGGGCCCAGAGAGATCAGTAAATGGTTTGGCCCAGCTTGGGAAAGTCCTTCTCCTTCTCTTTGGCCTTCAGAATCCCCATAGGTACCTTGATGAGACTGGTAGCAATTAGTGGTTCTCAACAGTGCCCACTAGAAATGTGTGGGGGCACCTGGAGCCATCAGAGTGACTAGAATCCTATTTAGTAGGTAGTTCACAGGTGCTAGGATGCTCAGCCTACCAATATGCAGGGATGTTTTGAATAATGAAAAAAATTATTCTTCTCCAAATGTCAATAGCATCTACATTGAGAAAAACTGCTGTAGATCTTTGTGGAGACCCTGAGAACTCTAACACAGTGAGTTCCAATAGGAAGTAGAGGCTACTGGTTGTTTTAAGAGCCCTGAAACTTGATCGGTCTACTGGGGGGAACCCTGTTATGTGTGTTGATATGATGGGTTTGGTTGAGTCAGAAAGCTGGGGTGGGATTTCATATGCTTTCTCAGAGACAGAGAAGGAAATAGGGACTTAGAAAGTCACCAATCATCACCTTTCAAAATTGCAAAGGTCTCAGGACTCTGAGAAAGATGGAGCAGGTGCTCAAGAAATTGATTCAATCACTCAGTGACATTAGGGGTTTGAGGGTAGAAGACAAGCATGTAGAAAGTTTTTCAAGGCCTACCCCCAGAAGATGGCATCACATGTAACTCTTTGGAGGTCTGGAAACCACAAAGCGGGTGATGCCAAAAGCCCAGTGGTTATTCTTAGCTTCTGGCTAGCAGGGCTGGCAGGGTTGGGAAAGGGCAGCTGGGGACAGTCACCTTCTCTTGCATGGTACTTCTGTACTGTAAGGAACCAATGGCCTGTAGATTTTATTTGATGGCTCTTCTGTGCTAAAGGGATGAAGGAGAGGAAAGATCAATTCCTGCTCTGACCAAAAGGCGTCCCTATGATGAGACTAATTCAAAATCCTTGGGAAGGTTTTTTGGACTAGCTTCATTCATAATGTCATTGAGAGTGACCTCAAACAGTAGATATAGAGAAGATTACCACTATTAAGGAAAGAAGGGATTGGAAAAGAATTTATTTCTCTTTATTTCTTCCCTTCTATGGGCCAGATATTCTACATCAATTACTTCCCATTTATTTGTCATAATTAAACATTCAAGAAGGTTCTATTGTTATTGGCAGATGGGGAAATAGAGGGTCAAGATTAAAGATCTTGTCCAAATATGATGATGTAGGCAATATGACAACTGAGATTTTAGCAGAGAAGTATAGAAGTCCAAAATCTGTGCCTATAGCTAAATTAATAAAGAATAATTAAAGCTGGTGGCAAGGCAGGAACTAATTAAATCTGCTTAAGGGAAGGGAAATGGCAGAGCCAAGGTACACAACTGGAGATTGGTAGAGCTGCTTTTCTTCATCAGTCATCACCATGAGGTAGAAGAACAGCTGGATGTAATGCTTACATTAATTTTTAAAAAGATTTGTTTATTTTTAAAATGTTTTTAATTGAGAAGCAGAATGACAGAGAGGGAGAGAAAGATGGAATGAGAGAAAGAGGGATGGGAGAGACAGAGAGAAAGAGGGAGAGGGAGAGGGAGAGGGAGAGAGAGAGGGAGAGGGAGAGGGAGAGGGAGAGGGAGAGGGAGAGGGAGAGGGAGAGGGAGAGAGAGAGAGAGAGAAAGAGAAACTTCCACCCATTGGTCCACTCTCCAAACGCCCACAACAGCTAGGGCTGGGCCAGGCTAAAGCTAGAAGCTAGGAAGCCTATGTCAGTCTCCCATATATGTGGCAAGGACCATCCAGGTGATAGGAGATAATTATTCCCCTACCTCCCAAGTGCATTAGTAGGAAGCTATATTGGAAGTGGAATAACAGACTCAAACCAAGACTCCCATATGGGATATGGACATCACAAGAAGTGGCATAACCTGCTGTACTACAATTCCTGCTGCTGACATACTTTTGAATCTTGTATCCCACATGCAATAGCTGTGTGACCTTGAGTGAGTCATGTCTTTTTGCTGAGCTTGACTTTCCCCACCCATAAAAAAGCGGGGGGAGGGGGAGCTTTCTATAAAAAGGAGAGATCAGGTTACTATGAGGACTTGAGATAGGATTTTAGAAAGTTTTTGAACTATCTAGTATAGTCCTGGCATAAAGTAGCTGCTGCACAAGTGGTGACCCACAGCAGTGCTCTGTGGGTAGCAAAGGGATCAAAGGAATGTTATTTCTCACAACCAGAGTCTCTCTGCCTCTTCCGGATGTTTCTCAGATTGAAGAGGAGGAATTTTTACATGAGTTCCTGAGATGAGCTACTAATCAGGCCAGAAGTACAACCACAAGCTGAGGACTGGGTCTTGGATAGGAAAGGGGTGGCCTCAGCAACACTGCTCTTGCTTCCCACCACTTGACCTTCCAGTCAGGGCAAAGCCCCCTCAGATTGAACTGGCTGGCTGGGACCTCCACTGTGCCATCTGTAGGTCAAATTGTTTAAACTCCACTGTCGGCCGCATCACCATAGCCACCAAGCAGGCCTGGCCAGGCTACTGCATTTATGTGATGTCTGGACCCAGGGAACTTACTCATTGAAAACCAGGTCAGGGGCAAAATACAGCATCCTGGAGTTGACATTGGTGAAGGATCGCCAGCCCATGGCAAACACCATGAGTCCCATCCAGGAGTACTGGATGACTGCCATCTGGTCATCCACATGCAAGTTACGGAAGCCTGCAAGAGAAGGGAGAAAGGCAGTGGTCATTCTGGGCATTCATGGTCTGTGACAACCGTGGGCCTCTCCTAGGCTGAGACTGTGGCACTAGGTGGCCCCTGAGGAGCCTCAGGAGTCATTAAGGCTGTTTTCTGAAGGGTGGAGGGAGATAACAAAGTACGTAGTAGGGCTGATATTCCTTGCCATCCCTGTTTCACTGAGCTGCTCAAGTGAGATGATGATGGAGACAAAAAGTGCATTGTCAGTTGGAAGAGAATAATAATCTAGCACTTACTGCTTTCAGTGTTTGAACTCTTTCTAAGCACTTTACATATATTACCTCCTTTAATCTGCAGGGTAAGTGAGTAAAGCAAGTACTATCACTAACTCCATTCCGTGAATTAGTAAAAGTGAGTCAAAGAGAGGTGAAGGAACATGTCCAAGAACATATGGCTGGTAAGGAGCAGATCAAGTTCCAAGGTCAAAGCAGTCTAGACTCCAAAGCCTATATTCTCCATCACCATACTTTTCTGAAGATACAGTGGAACAATCAATTCTCACACACACCCACACTTTTCACTTTACAAAGCTCTTTTCTAGCTGTAATTTGATCCGATTCCTTTAACAAACCTGGGAGAGGGATATCTGTACTTTTCAACATCTAGGAGACACCTTGACAGCCATTGCCTTCTCTACAGCACCTCCAGGCTCCCTCTCTTCTCTTTGACCCTATTTCTTGATCAAACTCATTCTCTCCATTCTTTTCACGAAACAGGTACCTTTTCCCTCTTATTTTCCTACTCCACTGCCACAACTACCCACAAACACACCCCCTGCCTACACTAGCTTCTTGCCACTTGCCTTCTCACCATTCAAGTCCCAGTCATTCGGAAAATCTTACAACTTGTTGAACATATTATGCCTTCACATGCCTCTAGTAGCTCAGCTATCTCTGCACAAGCAGTTGCCTTTTCCTAGAGTGCATTCCCCCTCCACAGCCTTTCCATCTGATCAACACTTAGTCATCTTTCAAGTCTTCATTCAAACACTGCCTCCTCTGTGAGGCCTTTTCCAAGACATTCAAGTAGCAAGCTTGAGGATGCTTTATTCGCCTTCTCATTGCACGTTGTGCAGTCACATGATTACAGTGCTTATTTTACAGCAGTATTTACCTGTATTCATGCTTGTCTCTTCCACATGATTTAGAGCTTCCAAAAGATAGGTACTATATCTTTTTGTTCTTCTTTGCCTTATACTTAGCACAGTCCAGGTATTCAAGTGATGGAATATTACTTAAACAGATAGTTAAGGATACTCAATTTTTATTCTATTTTGTAAAATGGAAATCAGAAGATCTCCAAATTACTTCCCTTAAGCTCAGAGAACAGAGGTTTCCAAAGCCTACCTCCACAATAACACATAGGTAGAAGAGATATGGACACATACTACTGGAAGATTTCAAAAATTGGATGTTTAAAGTTGTAAAGGCATGATGTCAGAGATCATCTGGAGCAGTGCTACCTTTCTCTTTGCCATAACAAATCTGGAACTATAGGAAATTTTATGTTGCTATACCTCACTAGAAATGCTTCCTTGAATTTAGGTCAAGCCTACCACTTTCCTGTTGACCTCAGATAGCCCTCCCAATAAGCCCAGAGGGTAGGTGGTATGACAACTAGCTTACAACAAGGAACTGGAGGGCAAGAAAAGTTAGCTGACTAGCTTAAGATCATGTAGACTACCAGTGGAACTGGGTATCATGTAGACTACCTGGAACAGGGATAAGAATCCAGGTGCTCTTATTTATTTATTTTATTTTTTTTTTTTGCCAGTGGTTTGTCCATTCCACTGCTGAAAGTCACAGCTCAGGAAGTACCAAGATCATTGCTTTCTTTTACCATATGCTCAGGTCTGAAATCTATACTATCCAGACACATTGTTCTGCTTCATTGGCCCCTGCCCACTCAAACACCCCTTTTCCCTTTCTTTGCTTTTAGAATCCAAGTCTCTCAGACATCAGGGATTTTAGAGAGTTCCCCATTCAAAATTCCCTGTGCTCCTAACCTCCCAATCTTACCCCACCACCACTTCCAGTGTACTGACATGCTGACTGATTAGAGCCTCAAGCTCCAGAGTAGTTCCTCTCTTGAGCCCTTCTATATCAGACTGCCTGGAGCTGACCTTGCTAGTAGGAAACAAGAATCAGGGTCTAAGCATATAACATCCAAGTATCTCTTGGAGAAGATATCCGAGAGCTTAAATCCTGCATTTTTGGGATGGGAGGCAGTGGGAAGCAAGGAAAGTCTGGCTGTTATCTTTGAATGGACATGTAACTGTGAGGGCACATGGAGGGATGAGGAATAAACTGTGCAACAATCAAGGAATCTGGCCATACTGATGCTTCTTTTTCCCTCCATGGGATGTTAGAGAACTAACAAAGATGATACAAAATGGGAAGCTTCATTTGGCTGTCACATTGGCTATTAGTGAGAGCTGTTCAGCATTCAAGCCTAATGACTGTGCAGCTATCAGTAACATGGACAGCTAATTTTCCTATAGATCCAATACGATGGAGACATTCTGCTATTGAATGCCCAGATTTTGAAGTTGTCTGTTCGGGTAGCATGGCCATGAGGGGAAGACTTAAGGAAACAGTAAGAAACTTCAGCCCTGCAAATGTCCTTAGGCATGCAGCCATTCAATACTTATTTGCTACTGTGTTAGGATAGAAAAGAGACATTCTCAGGTTTTGAAGCACACCAATCAGTTTATGGAAGCAGGGAGAGTTTCTTTGATACTCTAATTACTTTCTCATTAGCATCCAATTCACATCACATTTTTACAATCTGCAGTGGAAATTTGTAGTCCTGTGTTTTGTCTGGGAGCATAGGCTCAAAGAAGGGATAGTTTAGAAATCTTTGCTTCTTTAGTGCACTTTCCAGTCAAGGTCTTCTAAGAAGACAGTTCAACCTTGGGGTCCATGCATGAGCTTCCCAGGCAAGGCTAGCTTATCTTAAATTGAACACAATTAAAACAGCTACTTAACACTCAAGCCTCACAACGGTAATCCACGATTTAAAGAACACATACTCTATCTCAGCAACTATATTAGATGCTCTTCAAACAAAAAAGAAATTTGGTGATAACAGTTTTTAAGGTAGCAAATATTCTACCACTTCTACCAGCAAGGAAAGAGTAGGAAAAAAAAAAACCTAAAACCTAAAACCCAAACCAAAACAAGACGTAATTTGTTCAAGTTCACAGCCAGTACATAGCTAGGATTTCAAACAAGATAATTTGATTTTAAATATACTGTGTATACACAATCTACTCAATCACCCCTAATTAATAGTTGCAATTTACTAATGTGCCAGGTTCCCTACTATGCAATTTCCAAATATCATAATAATCTCAGAAATCTTACAACAAAATTTATCTGACCAGGTGACTTAGCAGGGTTCCTCACACTGGACAGGAACTCAATCTATTGAATAAACAAATTATTTGAATTAGTAAGTGATTATAGATAATGTAACAGTTCTTATGAATGTGGTAATCAGCCTTCTTTTGAAGCTATTCTTTTGAAAAACTAAAGGTCGGAGATCATTTACCCTAGCAAGGTAGATGGCTAATTGATTTGACTTGCAGACTTGTTAATATAAGGAGAGGGTTTCCCATACTGGAGGTTGGGTCATAGAAAGCCAGAAAATCTACAGTCATATACATTCTGCCATGGTCATTTGCACTAGGCTGTTTTCAAGACCACCAAATTGGAAATCAGAGAGTCTGCACTCAAGTTCTGGTTTGATGTATTAAGTGACTAGCGGAGCAAGTTAGTTAAGCCTTCGCATGTGAAATAACGGAAATAACATTCTCTATGGTTCCTAGTGCTGTTGTTAGGATTAAGTGGGATCATATATAGGAAAAGACTCTGTATCTTATAAAATGAGACATGCCAAGTATTTAGAAGCTGCTTGTAAAGATTTAACTTTGGATATCTATCAAACACATGACTTCAAGGAATCCAGCTGAGTGAGTGATAAGAATTAAAGCAAATTTCTCTTTTGTTGGTCTTTTTCTTTCCTCCCTGTGTAAACCTTCTGTTTTAACATGGTGTATATCCAGCATGATTCCTTAGGCCTTCTTCTCAATGACATTTTTTTTTTTTTGACAGGCAGAGTTAGACAGTGAGAGAGAGACAGAGAGAAATGTTTTCCTTTTCCGTTGGTTCATCTCCCAAATGGCCACTACGGCCGGTGCGCAGCGCTGATCTGAAGCCAGGAGCCAGGTGCTTCCTCCTGGTCTCCCATGCAGGTGCAGGGCCCAAGCACTTGGGCCATCCTCCACTGCCTTCCGGGGCCACAGCAGAGAGCTGGACTGGAAGAGGAGCAACCGGGACAGGACTGGCGCTCCAACCGGGACTAGAACCCGGGATGCCAGCGCCGCAGGCGGAGGATTAGCCTAGTGAGCCACAGCGCCGGGCCCCAATGATATTACTGGCTAGTCAACCTCAGCTTCCTGTACTGTGAAAGTGTTAGTGATGGTCTAGTGCCTGCAACTGGACTTTGCGAGTTGAAAATACAAAATAGGGGCTTCATAGCCAACAGGTAATGTCTTCAAATATAACAAATCTACGTCTGATCCAAGTGGTCTTTAGTGAACACTGTAAAGCCCAGGGCTACAGAACTGTTGGGGTGCTTCAGAATACAGGTAACTTGGAAGAAATGTGGAATTAAGAGGGGCTCTGGGCTCAAGTTCTTGCCCTGCTACATTCTGATTGCAACTGTAAGCCAATCACATCACTTCTCAGCACCCCAGCACCTGTCTGTAAAATAGGAGACAGTACCTCTATTTTGTAGGATTCTCATGAGGATCAAATCAGGTGACACATAGGAAATTGCCCTGTTTACTATAAATTTCCACCTGAATGGCAGTTATTATTAGAAGGCAGGTGAATCATTGACTCCACAAGAGGTTTGGTTGTTCATATTTCAAAAGAATCGTTGAATAATTAATCTCAGGATTAGATGAACCTCTAACGAACACATGCTTCATTGGTTTTCAAACTTGGAGCTAGAGCTCCCTACAGCTCCAAGACTCTTCAAGATTGACCTCAGCCTTCCCTGGGATAGTGAGGGAGAGAGAGCCAGAGCTGGTGCGGTCCAGGCCACAGACTATGTCTTTAAATCTGAAAGCTCCACTTTGACCCGTGTGTAATGCTTTTGAGAAACAAAGTGCTTAGCTACTAGAACAAGGTTTGTGAATCCTTTAATCGAAGGTCTCTAAGGTTTCCTTAAGCGGCAATACTTTAACAGATTTGTTTAAATAATAGATGACCTACTGAAGAATTGACTTCTCCATCACTGGAGATATCCAACCAGACATTAGGCAAATACTTGGTAATTTGTTTACTAACCTAATAATTTAGTCCAAATCACTTTTTATACATTATTCTGACAGAGAAACAGACCCATAAGGGGAAGGGTCACACCATGAGTTTTATCTGCAGAGCTAAGACTAGAAATGAAGTGTTCTAACTCCCAACTCCATGTGCTTTCTATCATACCAAACTAGAAGAGTGCCCAAGGTGTAGCTCCTTAAGGGGACACTGAAGTCAGATTGTTAACGAGGCTTGAGATTATATTGAAGGTGAGCCTATGTGTACATACATAGAAGGGTACCCTAAGACGCATGTGGGGTATGTATATGATTTGTGGTTATGGGAGTTTGCTAACCATGACTGTGAGTTCAACAGGAAAGCATGACCGCAGGACATCTACGTGAGCCATACAGGATACTCCATGGTGCTGCCTTCCTATGTGACTTCTGAGACTCCATTCCCTTATGTTTAAAGTGAGGATTATAACAATCCCTTCCCCATAGAGTGATGGTGATGACCGCATGAATAAAAGGGCAGGAAAGTACCAGACATGCTGCCTGGCCCTGGGAGTATTCCTTAATGTGATCTCTCTTATCCCATGCCATCAATTTCTTTTTCCTTACCAGGCAAGGCCTTGGCCCACTTGACCACATGGACAAGTTGTCTTTCGCCCAGTTCATTGAGGCTCGAGAGCAAGGCTGCGAAGGAGTCGGGCTGATTGTTGTCGTGTCCAGCACACACCACACCTGGCTCAATGGCTTCCAGGACATTGAGGAAGATGGGCTGACACTCATAGCCTTCCATGTGTGATACTGTCAGCTTCTGAGTTGTGTCTTCAGTGGGGCTGCTGGCACTGGAAGACTCGCCTTCCTCTTGCAGTTTCAGATTTCCAAGTTTCTTCAGCTTCCGTGCTGGTTGGAAGGAAGAGACATTTGAATTTATTATCATCAGCGGCCCCCGAACACACAGCACAACTACTCTGTTTAAAAGCTGCTTGAGCTAAGAAAATAAGGATGCACATTCATCCTTGTCACAGACTCGAAACTCCTTTAGGACAGATGTTCAACACTAGTTGAATGAAAATTAATCATCCCAAAGTAAATAAATGACTATCCTCCTGTAAAATGAGAACCATGTCAGGAGGCATTCGTTAGAAATGACAAAGATTACGTTATTTAAAATAACAAAAGTAACTCAAAGCTCAAATCTTAAGAACTATCCTTCACACGTACTCACACACCCATTTTTTTAAAGATTTATTTATTTATTAGAGTTACACAGAGAGAGAAGGAGAGGCAGAAAGAGAGAGAGAAAGAGAGAGAGGGAGAGAGAGAGAGGTCTTCCATCTACTGGTTCACTCCCCAACTGGCCGCAATGGCCGGAGCTGCGCCCATCTGAAACCAGGAGCCAGGAGCTTCTTCCAGGTCTCCCACGCAGGTGCAAGGGCCCAAAGACTTGGGCCATCTTCCATTGCCTTCCCAGGCCATAGCAGAGAACTGGATCAGAAGTGGAGTAGCCGGGACTCTAATGGGCACTCATATGGGATGCCGGCACTGCAGACAGCGGCTTTACCTGCTTTGCCACATTGCGAACACCTCCCCCCAACACACACAATTTAGAGGTCCTTGGCATCCCCATGTTTACACTGTACTATTTTCCATAGAATTTATATTGACAGAATTATAAATAATTTAAACAATCCTAACTTTGAGGTCTACACAGGCAGTTGCACTAGAGTGGGTCATAAATCACTTATTTCCAATCCATCTATTAAAGTAATAATAATAATAAATTAATAAAAGTATAAACAGAATTTGATTACTCAACTGAAATGGATAACTATGAAAAACTCTATGGCTCTTTTGTTCTGGTTCTGCAGAAAAAAATATATATATCTGGAACTGACTTGGTTCTAATCAGAAAAAAAAGTCTTGTTGTGCAAACTCCAATTGCAGTGTCACTGAGTAAATTGATGTAGGAATGAATCACTTGTTTGAATTGTCACCTAAGGTAAGGAAGAAGAAAATGGTGGGATTGGTGGTATACGAGGAGAAAGAACTTGTTTCGGGAAAATAACAAGGAAGCCTGCAAATTAATTCTAAATGCAAGATGACCTCATCCAAAAATCATTCCTGCATGGCTTGGGCACAGGCAGTTATAAGGAGACATGTACACCCACTCCTAATTCCCACCAAGGCTAGAAGGTATGGTGTAGGCCAAGCCCATCTTCTTGCAGAGCTAGCCTGTACTCCATATTATCAGGTCATCTGGTGAACTCACTGCTAACAAAGATTCTCGTTCATAGGTCCACAGGCTGGTGGTACCTGTAGCATCTGTTCCTCTGTTGCAGTTCCCACAAGCACACTGCACTTCCCCCATCACTAGTATTTTCCAGCCTTGAGCTCAGGACTTTGCAGACCAGGGAGTCATCCTTCCAGCTCAGAAGAGATGCGTAATTAGGCATATGCTTGAGGTGACTAAGAGAAATAAGGATAGCTACTAGTTTTTTTTTTTCATGCCTTTCTATGTACCTCACTTTGTGAACACGCTCTATCATTTAATTACACAGTGATCATAGAAGATTAGTTATATTTCTTTTCCTGGTTTGCAAATGAGTACACTGACATAACACAGTTATCAGCAGGGGAACCCAATACTATGAACCTGCTCTGCTAACTAAACAGTCCATTTTCCCTGTATTATATCATTTTGCCTCCCTAAGGAGTCTGAAGCCCTGACTACTCCTTCTGTCTAAAAGCAGAGTTGAGGAGTGGGGCTGCGATTTTATCCTCCTTGCCTTGCACCTTTATCTTTGACTCCAAATTTCAGTAATTAGCATCACATACAGAAGGCACGAGACAAAAAGCTATGAGAATACTGCAGTCATCTGCCCAAACAGAGACAGATTTAAGGCAACACTGTGGCTTAAATATTCACAGCATGAGAAAACAGGAATGGTCTTAGAAGTTACCTAATCGGGACTGTTGTTGTGGCATAGAGGGTTAAGCCTTTGCCTGTAGCACCAGCATCCCATATGGGCACCGGTTCAAGACCTGGCTGTTCCATGTCTGATCCAGCTCCCTGCTAGTGTGCCTGGGAAAGCAGCAGAAGATAGCCCAAGTGCTTGCAATGCTGCTACTCATATGGGAGTCCCAGAAGAAGCTCTTAACTCCTGACTTTGGCCTGATTCAGCCCCAGCCATTGTAGTCATTTTGGTGAGTGAACTAGCAGATGGAAGAATCTCTCTCTCTCTCTCTCTCTCTCTCTCCCTCTCCTTCTCCCTCTCCCAGTCTCTGTAATTCTGCATTTCACACAAATAAATAAATAAATTTTTTTAAAAAAATTATCTTATCAAGGCATCTCTGATTAAAATACCTTCAGGGTGTAGACAGGTAATACAGTGGTACATGTATGTGTGTGCATGTGTGTGTAAGGAAATGGCTGCTTAACTGGAATGAACTCCTTTCCTGCCTTCCTGCTTCTGCATACACACACACATACAGGCACACACACACAGCTACTAGACGTATGTGGCTATTTAATTTAAATTATATATAATCAAAAACATAGAAGGTATAATCTCTCAGTCTCAGTGGTTGCACTTCTAGTGTTCAAAAGCCACTAGTGGCTGCTATCTGGGAAATCACATGTAGAAAACATTTTCATCATCTCAGGAAGTTCCATTGAAGAGTGCTATCCTCTGGGGCAGTTGTCCATTTACCATATACCCTATTAAAGTTATTGGCAATGAGGAAAAGAATCTAAATGAATACATAAGACTCAATGGGCTTTGTAAAAAGGTGGAGAGCCACACAGAGCAACTGGTACTGGGACAATCAGTGAGATAATATATGTCACTTCGATTCTTCCACCAACAGTTCCAATCTCAGTGGGGTGATGACTCGTGGCCCTAAGCAAGCTCATTACAAGCAAGATCAATATGTGTAGAAACCCTACGGAGAATCCATCAAGATGAAATAATTCCGCTTTTGCTGAGTAGTGCCAGTGAGAAATTGGCTAGTGATTTTACATCCTCCTCTCCTAGACCTATAAGGCATCTGCTTGAAGTAAAAAAGCCACATTGCCACTTGCCTCTAAATCTCAGTAACGTGCTGTCCCTTTGGCCACAGTGGCCCAAGTTGCACCAGGTGTTCTGGCCTTTCTGCCTGAAGAGGATGACTGTACTGAACATAATTGAAATCAGATTCCATTCATTCTGCCGGGGAATCCTCTGTTCTCTTTCTGCACCAGAGGCCAGCATGTTGCTAGACGACTTGGAATGCTGGACAATGAGGATTGCTAGCCTCAGCTGTTACTCAATGCCCAAGGCCTTGTTTTCTTCTATGAAAGCCACCCCTACACCCCTCCTGTCCCCTGCACCTGAGCCCCAGAGTCAAATCTATCTCTTTCATATAAGGCACAGGCCAGTTAGCCGCTATGTCAAGGCAGAGATTCATTGACTTAGGTTGAGTGATACAACAAGAAAAGGAGTATTCAAGGTGAATGAGTGTATGAGTTACTCTGCATCTGTCTTTCAGTTTTAGGTCTTAGCAGTGACACAAAACGACTACTGGCAACGTACTTCCCTGTCTCCATCAGCCCTTTACCATATTGCCCATTGGAGCACTTGGCCTGACACGATGTTTGAGTCTCATGGAAAACTCACTTTTCAGTCCTAGGGCACGATATCCTTATTGAAGCTGTCACTATAACACCAGATAATGATTTTTCTTTTAATTTAAAATTTTGTTTATTTATATAAAGGAAGAGGGAGGGGGGGAGGGAGGGAGAGAGAGAGGAAGAGGGGGAGGGAGAGGGGGAGGGGAGGAAGAGGGAGAGAGAGAGGGAGAGGGGGAGGGAGAGGGGGAGGAGGAGGGAGGGGGGAGGGAGAGGGGAGGGAGAGGGATAAAGATTGATTTTGCATCCACTGGTTCACTCCCCAGATGACTGCAACTTCTGGGGCTGGGCCAGCACAAAACCAGGAGATCAGAACTCAGTCTGTATCTCCCATGTGGATGGCAGGACACAAGTTACTTGAAACATAACCTTCTGCCTCCTAGGATGCATATTAGTAGGAAGTAGAATCAGAAGCAGAGTAGATGGCACTCAAAACCTAGAGCAGTCCAAGCAGCATTTTAACTATTGTTTCAAATGCCCACCCCCAGGATTTTTCAAATCAAGTTCCCCAGTGTATTTCTGATAAGGAGCAATTTGATTAATTTGTAATTTCTCTAGCTTCTGTGACTTTCTGCTCTGTTCTAGCTTCATTTCTTGCCATCCCAAGATAGAAGGCCTTCTCAACAATGGGCGAGTGAAATTTCCAGTCTTAGAAACTTTGAATCCCTCTGCATAGGATCAAGGATGTTTCTCTTCCCCAGATTTCAGTACAGCGTTTGGAACATAAAAAGATCACTTTTGTGTTAGGATGACTTCTATGTTGGCCCCCAACATTCTGAGATTCTGAAATACACATATATTCTAGTTATTAAGTCAAACATTGATCTAGATATTCTTGTGAGATGACTGGGCAGATGCAAGCTTTTAAAAAGTATTTATACAAATTAATGGTAAAACTACTAGTCAAACAGTACTCTAAACTTTGTGTGTCTGTGTGGGTGCAGTCTGTTGAAATCTTTACTTAGTATATACTAAGTTGATCTTCTGTATATAAAGATAATTGAAAATGAGTCTTGATGAAGAATGGGATGGGACAGGGAGTGGGAGATGGGAGGGTTGTGGGTGGGAGGGAGGTTATGGGGGGGGGGAAGCCGCTATAATCCAAAAGTTGTACTTTGGAAATTTATATTTATTAAATAAAAGTTGACAGAGAGAAAGCTCTATCTACCGACTCACTCCCAAAATGCCCACAGCAGTCAAGACGGGGCCAGTCTGATGCTGGGAGCTGAAGCTG